ATCTACAAGTCTCAGTTCCGCTAACCTATGTTCCCCCTTAATTGTTTAATACCGCGTGTCTCTGGGGGTGGGGAGGGGGGACGGCATCTATTATTTTCCCGGTAAACAGTCCGTCAGGCCTGCCTCGGTTCTGGCGAAGAAGCGCAAACGCCATTACCGGATGCGAACGAGACACGGTGGCAACATGGCCGGCCATCACAAATGGCGGAGGTTTTTGCACGCGTCTGACCATAGTTCTTGAAGATGTTTCTCGGGTCTCACAGGAGGGTTAAGGAAATGAGCTTCCCAGAATGGTCTTTGATAAAGATTTATCACATGAGAAACTCAAAGTTCGAAGCACCTCGGAACAGCAGTGTTCAGAAATCCTGCTGCACCGTTCAGAGAGATGTTGATCGTTATGATGTTGGGTAGACGCTCGTTGGATCTAGGTTCTCTTATCTTGTTTATTAATAATGTAACTATTGACTAATCGTGTGTAAATGGGGGGTACATGTGCCGTCGCCTTGTCTACAGTGATATTTAGTCCACGAAAAGAAGCGTTGATTGAAATATACTAGTACGTTATCGCGTTAAAGCCAAATTGGACGGGATCCTGAAATAGGTGCGCGTCCCAGTTGAGTAATTAGATCTCGAGATCATTGACCAAGCATCATCCATCACACTTAAACCCCTGAACGCTATTTGTGAAAACCACAGAGGAATGTCAGACCTATACATTCTTTAGTTCCTGGAACTGTATATTGTGTTTGTCGGCTTTTTCTTTAATCCCAACACGTGAAATATCTTCTCTGCAATTGATTTGTCTCTCAAGACTTGGGTCCGCTGAAATATAGAAACGATCCTATTTAATTTCAATGTGTGTTCTTGTTTCCAGAGTGCCCATTGTGCACAGTAATTATTACACGCTTAGTGAGTGAGTGAGTGAGTGAGTGAATGACAGCTGTCTAGAATTATATAAGGTACAGCGATTAGGTTGGTGTACGTACAAACATTTGCAGCGGGTGTGTAGAGGGAGTGGGAGAGTGAGTGAGTGAGTGAGAGTGTGAATATGGTTTTACACCACTTTTAGCATCATTCCAGCAATATTACGGCGGGGGACACCAGAAATGGGCTTCACATATCGTACTCATCGGGGAATCGAACCCTGGTCTTCGGCGTGTCGACGAACACTTTAACAACAAGGCTACCCCACCGTTTACACTATTGGTGAGTGAGTTTGGTTTTACACCGCTTTTAGCATTATTCCAGCAATATTACGGCGGGGGACACCAGACATGGGCTTCACATATCGTACTTATCGGGGAATCGAACCCGGGTCTTCCCCGTGTCGACGAAGACTTTAACAACTAGGCTACCCCACCGCCTACCCTCTTAGTAGAGTTATATGTTACCCCCTGGTATCGTGGCGAAGGGATACCTTACGTCACGCCACAGTCAGTAATAGTTTGCAGATATTCAAGGTGATCACACTGGCTGTCCACGCTGGTCCATGCTGGTCCATGCTGTCGGGGCGCGATGGCACACAGTCGTCGTGGTCAGACATAGTGGCCACCCAATCCTCATCTAATCGTTCATAAGAACATAGATCCTAATGACGTGTCATGCCAGATGGGGACACTGTGTGAAGCACATTTTTGGTGTCCCCAGCCTAGATATTGCTGGAATATTGCTTAAATCGGCGTAAAACCATACTCACTCACTTATGCCAGAACTCCGCACAAAGGTATGATGATAATGGTTATAGTAATAATCACCATAATGGTTTTAGTCAGTAATAGATCGATAATAATGTATGAAGCACATTTTTGGTGTCCCCAGCCAAGATATTGCTGGAATATTGCTTAAATCGGCGTAAAACCATACTCACTCACTTATGCCAGAACTCCGCATAAGGGTATCGTGATAATAATGGTTATAGTAATAATCACCATAATGGTTTTAGTCAGTAATAGATCGATAATAATGTATAAAGCACATTTTTGGTGTCCCCAGTCAAGATATTGCTGGAATATTGCTTAAATCGGCGTAAAACCATACTCACTCACTTATGCCAGAACTCCGCATAAGGGTATCGTGATAATAATGGTTATAGTAATAATCACCATAATGGTTTTAGTCAGTAATAGATCGATAATAATGTATAAAGCACATTTTTGGTGTCCCCAGCCAAGATATTGCTGGAATATTGCTTAAATCGGCGTAAAACCATACTCACTCACTTATGCCAGAACTCCGCATAAGGGTATCGTGATAATAATGGTTATCGTAATAATCACCATAACGGTTTTAGTGAGTAATAGATCGATAATAATGTATAAAGCACATTTTTGGTGTCCCCAGCCAAGATATTGCTGGAATATTGCTTAAATCGGCGTAAAACCATACTCACTCACTTATGCCAGAACTCCGCATAAGGGTATCGTGATAATAATGGTTATCGTAATAATCACCATAACGGTTTTAGTGAGTAATAGATCGATAATAATGTATAAAGCACATTTTTGGTGTCCCCAGCCAAGATATTGCTGGAATATTGCTAAAATCGGCGTAAAACCATACTCACTCACTTATGCCAGAAACCCGCATAAAGGTATCGTGATGATAATGGTTAAAGTAATAATCACCATAATGGTTTTAGTCAGTAATAGATCGATAATAATGTATAAAGCACATTTTTGGTGTCCCCAGCCAAGATATTGCTGGAATATTGCTTAAATCGGCGTAAAACCATACTCACTCACTTATGCCAGAACTCCGCATAAGGGTATCGTGATAATAATGGTTATAGTAATAATCACCATAATGGTTTTAGTCAGTAATAGATCGATAATAATGTATAAAGCACATTTTTGGTGTCCCCAGCCAAGATATTGCTGGAATATTGCTTAAATCGGCGTAAAACCATACTCACTCACTTATGCCAGAACTCCGCATAAGGGTATCGTGATAATAATGGTTATCGTAATAATCACCATAACGGTTTTAGTGAGTAATAGATCGATAATAATGTATAAAGCACATTTTTGGTGTCCCCAGCCAAGATATTGCTGGAATATTGCTAAAATCGGCGTAAAACCATACTCACTCACTTATGCCAGAAACCCGCATAAAGGTATCGTGATGATAATGGTTAAAGTAATAATCACCATAATGGTTTAAGTCAGTAATAGATCAATGATGAACATTACAATGCTGATTATCATTATCATTAGCAAAGAAAAACACGACAAGGAGGGTCAATGTGATACTTGTACAGTCTGGATCAGACACATCATATATAAGGGTCGTTGACCCTCAAACAAGCTAGCGATTGGTACCACGGTTCGACGATCAGCTGGTCCATCAGACAAAAGCCAGTTAACTTCAAGCAGGAACAGCGATTAAACACGCGGGGGGTCAGACACAAAAAACATCTAGTTGTGTGAACTTTTATCCTTGAAAGTACATTACATCCTCCATACGTACATTATTTTGATAATAACACAATGATGAAATAGAGAACTTGTCCAAAATGTTTCCTTGTTGTCTTTTTGTTTCCATCTGCCAACACCTTGGGCAAATTTAAGCGTTCGCGCATCAAGACAATAGACCCGGATTTGGTAATTTGGGTTTATGTTTGATATTGATGTCCTACGCAGTACTGATGCAAACCCGATTCGGATTTCCAAGGAAGCAGCACAAATCACCGCGTGCAGCGTAGACTTATGCTTTGTCCCTGCAAATATGTTTTGAGTGAGTGAGTGAGTGGGTGAGTTTGGTTAAACGCCGCTTTTAACAGTATTCCAGTTATATCGCGGCGTGTCAGCTTAATGTGGGAGGAAAGCCCGATGTGATGCAGGTCTCAGACGTTTACCACTTCGGTGAAACCCACGAGCAAGGGTATGGTGCTGACGAACCTAGAAACATAATCGGGGCGAACCGGGATTCGAACCCACAATCTTAGGTTTCTGGCGTGCCCAAGTGACGCAACTCTGCACAGCAAATCGCGGCGCCTTAGACGACTGGGCCACCCGTGCCCCCATATGTCCAACTTCACACTTGGGATGCAGATGGTTCGTCACAAAGGCGATGTCTTCGTTCTGTGGCTATTTCTTCTGGATCTTGTCAACCGCGTTGCTGTCATATAAAGGAACAGTTAATTCAATAACATAAAGGCACCAGCTGATGTACTGAACAATGCAACATCCGTTTGTTGACTTGACTGAGACTCTGTGTGTGGACATATTCCATGTAAGCGTATACTTGTAATTATGATCCTCCGTGACAGGGTCAACACTAAATATGACTGTTGAGGCTTAGTGCGTGGACATACACACACACACACACACACACACACACACACACACACACACACACACACACACACACACACACACACACACACATGCATACATACATACATATATATATCAGCATCTGCCTCACTTATGATTTGGTACATGCCACAGATCATGCGATGTGATTATAAACATCATATAATCATCGTCATTATGATGATGATGATGATGCTTATTATTATTATTGTTGTAATTATTATTGTTTTTGTTGTTATGATGATGATGATGATGATGATGTTTATTATTATTATTATGTTTATTATTATTGTTGTTGTTGTTGTTTGCTATGTATATCAGTACCAACTTCCGTACGTCTAATCGGTTTGCGCAGTAAATACTACAGACGAGTTTGTGTGTGTTGATGTATTATGACTCCAGGGATGTTTACGCCCATAGATCTCCGGGTCAGGGTTGTCCTCCACTCTGCTGGAGAGCGACACCAGCACACGACACAGCCTGAACGCAGCGTTTGTCAGGCTGCCAAGAGGCAATTAATGACAAAAAGACGGAAGTAATCTACCACCGCGATACCATGCGTCACTCCTCATAGGTTTGTCAGTTTAATTATCAAAATGCTGCTGCACTGTGAATCATTGCTTTCCAGCATATCGTAAATCTAGATGCTGAACACGGCTTGATAGATAGCATCGCAGGCATGAAGACATTGATGGGACGAGGACGACACTGATGGGTTGGGGTGGACAATGAAATGTTGATGGATTGAGGTGGGGTGAGGGAGATGCTGATGGGTTGGGTGGGGTGAGGGGGATGCTGATGGGTTGAGGTGGGGTGAGGGAGACACTGATGGGTTGAGGTGGGGTGAGGGAGACACTGATGGGTTGAGGTGGGGTGAGGGAGATGCTGATGGGTTGAGGTGGGGTGAGGGAGACACTGATGGGTTGAGGTGGGGTGAGGGAGACACTGATGGGTTGAGGTGGGGTGAGGGAGACATTGATGGGTTGAGGTGGGGTGAGGGAGATGCTGATGGGTTGAGGTGGGGTGAGGGGGATGCTGATGGGTTGAGGTGGGGTGAGGGAGATGCTGATGGGTTGAGGTGGGGTGAGGCAGACACTGATGGGTTGAGGTGGGGTGGGGGAGACACTGATGGGTTGAGGTGGGGTGAGGGAGACATTGATGGGTTGAGGTGGGGTGAGGGAGATGCTGATGGGTTGAGGTGGGGTGAGGGAGACACTGATGTGTTGAGGTGGGGTGAGGGAGACACTGATGGGTTGAGGTGGGGTGGGGTGAGGGAGACACTGATGGGATGAGGTGGGGTGAGGGAGACACTGATGGGTTGAGGTGGGGTGAGGGTGACACTGATGGGTTGAGGTGGGGTGAGGGAGATGCTGATGGGTTGAGGTGGGGTGGGGTGAGGGAGACACTGATGGGGTGAGGTGGGTTGAGGGAGACACTGATGGGTTGAGTTGGGGTGAGGGAGACACTGATGGGTTGGGGTGGGGTGAGGGAGACACTGATGGGATGAGGTGGGGTGAGGGAGACACTGATGGGTTGAGGTGGGGTGAGGGTGACACTGATGGGTTGAGGTGGGGTGAGGGAGATGCTGATGGGTTGAGGTGGGGTGGGGTGAGGGAGACACTGATGGGGTGAGGTGGGTTGAGGGAGACACTGATGGGTTGAGGTGGGGTGAGGGAGACACTGATGGGTTGGGGTGGGGTGAGGGTGACACTGATGGGGTGAGGTGGGGTTAGGGAGATGCTGATGGGTTGGGGTGGGGTGGGGTGAGGGAGACACTGATGGGATGAGGTGGGGTGAGGGAGACACTGATGGGTTGAGGTGGGGTGAGGGTGACACGGATGGGTTGAGGTGGGGTGAGGGAGATGCTGATGGGTTGAGGTGGGGTGGGGTGAGGGAGACACTGATGGGGTGAGGTGGGTTGAGGGAGACACTGATGGGTTGAGGTGGGGTGAGGGAGACACTGATGGGTTGGGGTGGGGTGAGGGTGACACTGATGGGGTGAGGTGGGGTTAGGGAGATGCTGATGGGTTGGGGTGGGGTGGGGTGAGGGAGACACTGATGGGGTGAGGTGGGTTGAGGGAGACACTGATGGGTTGAGGTGGGGTGAGGGAGATGCTGATGGGTTGAGGTGGGGTGAGGGTGACACTGATGGGTTGAGGTGGGGTGAGGGAGATGCTGATGGGTTGGGGTAGGGTGAGGGAGATGCTGATGAGTTGAGGTGGGGTGAGGGAGACACTGATGGGTTGAGGTGGGGTGAGGGAGACACTGATGGGTTGAGGTGGGGTTAGGGGGGCACTGATGGGTTGAGGTGGGGTGAGGGAGATGCTGATGGGTTGAGGTGGGGTAAGGCAGATGCTGATGGGTTGGGGTGGGGTGGGGTGAGGGAGATGCTGATGTGTTGAGGTGGGGTGAGGGAGCCACTGATGGGTTGAGGTGGGGTGAGGGAGATGCTGATTGGTTGAGGTGGGATGAGGGAGACACTGATGGGTTGAGGTGGGGTGAGGGAGACACTGATGGGTTGAGGTGGGGTGGGGGAGACACTGATGGGTTGAGGTGGGGTGAGGGAGAAGCTGATGGGTTGAGGTGGGGTGGGGGAGACACTGATGGGTTGCGGTGGGGTGGGGGAGACACTGATGGGTTGAGGTGGGGTGAGGGAGAAGCTGATGGGTTGAGGTGGGGTGAGGGAGAAGCTGATGGGTTGAGGTGGGGTGAGGGTGACACTGATGGGTTGGGGTGGGGTGAGGGAGACACTGATGGGTTGAGGTGGGGTGAGGGAGACACTGATGGGTTGAGGTGGGGTGGGGGAGACACTGATGGGTTGCGGTGGGGTGAGGGAGACACTGATGGGTTGAGGTGGGGTGGGGGAGACACTGATGGGTTGAGGTGGGGTGAGGGAGACACTGATGGGTTGAGGTGGGGTGAGGGAGAAGCTGATGGGTTGAGGTGGGGTGAGGGAGACACTGATGTGTTGAGGTTGGGTGAGGGAGACACTGATGGGTTGAGGTGGGGTAAGGCAGATGCTGATGGGTTGAGGTGGGGAATGGCAGATGCTTATGGGTTGAGGTGGGGTAAGGCAGATGCTTATGGGTTGAGGTGGGGTGAGGGACACACTGATGGGTTGAAGTGGGGTGAGGGAGATGCTGATGGGTTGAGGTGGGGTGAGGGAGACACTGATGGGTTGAGGTGGGGTAAGGCAGATGCTGATGGGTTGAGGTGGGGTGAGGGAGATGCTGATGGATTGAGGTGGGATGAGGGAGACACTGATGGGTTGAGGTGGGGTGAGGGAGACACTGATGGGTTGAGGTGGGGTGAGGGAGACACTGATGGGTTGAGGTGGGGTGAGGGAGACACTGATGGGTTGAGGTGGGGTGAGGGAGACACTGATGTGTTGAGGTGGGGTGAGGGAGATGCTGATGGGTTGAGGTGGGGTGAGGGAGATGCTGATGGGTTGAGGTGGGGTGAGGGAGATGCTGATGGGTTGAGGTGGGGTGAGGGAGAAGCTGATGGGTTGAGGTGGGGTGAGGGAGATGCTGATGGGTTGAGGTGGGGTGAGGGAGATGCTGATGGGTTGAGGTGGGGTGAGGGAGATGCTGATGGGTTGAGGTGGGGTGAGGGAGTACACTGATGGGTTGAGGTGGGGTGAGGGAGTACACTGATGGGTTGAGGTGAGGACGTGACTATTCGGTGATCAAACAAGAATAGATCAACTGGACAGTTTCGAGGTCTACACTGACAATTTCATCTTGAAAAAAAATCGAGATGGCAGTTGCTTTCTTTGGTAATATCTACATTTTCACACTTCCAACTCATTGAGTTCTTTTTTATGAAAGCTTAGAACAAAATGGAATTACTTGCCCAAATCGGAAAATACAAAGTGCTGATTAGCCAGGGATGGTGATGCTCTTACCCCGCTGATGACGATGTCCAGGACTACTGCAGCCGCATTCACAAGCTGATGATGTGAACTGGAGGTGCGCGGTATAGACAGCTGATGCTTTTTTCTATATGACAGCGGGTTGCACGGAATACAAGCAAGTCAGTGGATGACAAGCGTCATGAGTATCATTAACAACGTCAACACACACACAGAGATATACAGAGGCGAACAGACACGAACAAAAACACACACATACATCCACGCACGCATACTCAGACATGCACATGCACACACTCCCACACACTACCACCACGGATAGATGGACGTCTTGGGAGTAACTACAGCCCAATCGTTGATGTGACCGATATGCTATTCCAGTTTATGAACAGTATCAGATATAGAGAGTCGATTATACAACTTTGCTAAACAGAAATCCTTTAGATGAGTCACGTTTTCCGACAACATGAACGAATCCAGAAACGATTTTTCAAATTCTAAAAGATCGGTTTAAGTTCGAGGACGTCAAATGCTTAATGAAGATTGAAAATATTTAACTGTCAAACCTTAACAGATCTTAATCATTCCATATCCTGTATGTCAATATATCAACTTCAGAATAGATACATCCTCGTCCCTCATCCCTTCATCTACCCATACTGATACATATATCTACCCGCATCACGACCTGTCAATTTCCAGGATATTACCCCAACATCCCTTTCCAAATACCAACTGTCGTATCGGTTCTCCTGATCGATCGCGATCGTGCCGTTACCACGGATATTGTATAGGGCATCATGCTCGGCGTACCAATACGCTCATAGCATATGTAAACGATTACAGAGTTTTTTGTCGGAGGCTATTTTTTTTATATCTTACCAGCCACGAGGAGCGAGAACGGCATAATTGTCATTCTCGCGAGGAATGTGTTGGAATAAACCAAATAGGAAATCCTAGTATTAAAAATATGCCCATTCCAACCACAGCGATCGCTCCTTGGCTGTGTTGAATAATTCAGTTTTATTGCGTGTATCGATGTGTGAGGACAGAATTATACTTCACCCTCTATATCCCGAACAAGCATGTGTATCAATCGAGATATAGCTCACCTTCAACCAACAGAGTGAGTGAGTGAGTTTGGGGTTTAAACCGTTTTGCATGTTGTGGTTTCACAGCGGGGAACACCGAGAGCTTTACACACTGTGACCACGTGGAGAAACAAACTCGGGCCTTCGACGTGACGAGCAAACGCTTAAGGCATCCTAAACGCGTACAGAATTTACGGTTGCCTGAAGAATATTGATTGGCATAATATACAACTCAAAACAAATAATCACATTTCCATTCCGTTTTCTTCATATTGCCATATTTACTACTTAAACACCCTCGAAATATGTTACTCAAAAGAACAATTGTTTTCAAATTACTACAACTAATCTGTCATGCCATGAAAGATTAACTACACTAACATGAAAGGAACGAGTGTTCTTTAATTTCTTTTGAGTAACATATTTGGTGGATTTTATTTGTCTCGTAATTGGAAACGTGATTTATTTAATCCACTGGCAATATCCCGAACACGACTGGTTTCGAACTAACGCTCAATTCGCCCTTTTAATAGTATCACGACGTGGAATTCGAGTGATTAGTGCTTGTGGGTTTAACACAGATTTGAACAGTATTTGACTTGTAATCTGCATGTGAGGGAAGCCGTCTGTAACGCAGGTCGTTGAGAGTTATCGTTGTGGTGATAAAACAACAGACATGGCAGCGATGGCCAAAGGAGAGAGAGAGAGAGAGAGAAAGCGCGCGAGAGAGAGAGCGCGAGAGAGAGAGAGCGGGAGCGAGAGAGAGAGCGCGAGAGAGAGAGCGCGCGAGAGAGCGCGAGAGAGAGAGCGAGAGAGAGAGAGAGCGCGAGAGCGAGAGAGAGTGCGCGCGAGAGAGAGAGCGAGAGAGAGAGCGAGAGAGAGGGAGCGAGAGAAAGAGAGAGAGAGAGAATCAGTGAGTGAGTGAGTGAGTGAGTGAGTATGGATGTACGCCGCTTTCAGCAATATTCCAGCAATGTCGTGGTGGGGAACGTCAGTATTGGGCTTTGTACCATTGGGGGATTCAAACTTGAACCCCACCGCCCCTCGATATCCAAAGAAGTATTATAAGGTTGAGTGTGAGACTCGAACAGGGTCGACCAATGGACCTGGTATGACTAAGAGATGCAATTCTGCATATGGCGAAATCCCGTCAATCCCAAAGTTTCATAATTGATCCATTGCTCAACAGATAAAAAAATCTGTACATGTGAGTATATTACATTACATCACTCGCGTGGCTATAGTTTATGAACATAACGCGCGTCAAAAGATGTAATTACCGTAATATCTTTGTCCTTAACACTGCTCAATAGAGTCACACGTCTTCCCGCCAAACAAAGCATTCGTAATGATATTAATCCAGCTATCATTATACTTTTAATGACGTTTTAATGTCATCATAAACAGTTCGTACATTGCTCAACTATTAACAATAACCCCAAAACAATAAAAGAAAACAGTGTTCAACTGCAACGGCGAATTTAGTACGCCTTGAGTTTGAAAACTTCAAAGCTTTACGAGGCGTTAAAACAACATGCAGCTAAATGTCGTTCCATAATCACAATACCCGTGCGGCTAGAGCTTGCATTCAACAGCCTCCAGCGAATATCGCATTCCATGCAAAGCACAACAGAATAAAGGTTAGGACTTTTATCACAAACGTTAACTGCTCATAAAACAACAATAGTTCTTGACGGATATGCTGATCCTCATATCGAATATCGCGAGCGCTTTGTTGTCTACATAAATATACCAGCGCTCAATAGTTTGATTATATCTGAAGCTGCCCCGGGAATAAGGGCGAAGCGGGGTCAAAAGGTCATCAAATCGAGTGTAACTTCCTTTTTAGCAACACTAGACTCGATCTGGGAGGAACCACGCGCTACGTGTATAATCGACGTCTTCCGGTTCACGAGGAAAATTGTTTATTTTTAATTGTATGATTTTAATGTGTTTCCTCATTACAAACACGTGATTCTCCTTTCGTTCTGCGATACTGGATCTGTTTTCGTGCTTCTAATTTCGTTCGGTGATACTGAGTCCATTCTTGTTACAGTATTTCATTTCAATTTTCTTTGTAAAGAAAATATCGTTTGGTAGGATTTTGCGGTATAATATCAATTTATATAGAGTAACAAAAACGTCGATCTCGATGTAAGTGAAAATAATGTTCTAGCTACCGCCGCGTTAAAACAGCTTGTTTCTCGTACCTTTTTAGAAAAATGAACATGATAGGTTGTTTGAATTGTATTTTTTATTTCGATTTCCCAAACACGCCAATCTAAATTCGCAATTGTACTGAGCGACAACAATGCTATAAAGAATTCAAAGTGGAGAGTATGTATTTGAAGCCTTTGATAGAAAATGTCAATATATATGTCTGAAACAATGCTGATGCTGTGTTATTTTTTAAACTATACGAGATATATCAAAGCGAATAACTGGTCATAAAGGCAGGTTACATCAAAGAGTGCAATTTCAGAATGAAAAACAACAAATTACTCAACGGCTGAGAAATGGAACCGAATCTAACATGCATTTCATGTTAATTCTAGGGTAAGGCAGAGTGGATCGGTGAGAAACGGGGAGCTGTTTTATGTGAAAGGCTGAAAGAGGTGGCGACAGCTGTGCAGGAGGGGTGGGGAGGGGTGTGTGTGTGTGTGGGGGGGGGGGGGGGGGGGGGGGTAGTAGTAGCTTAGTGGTTAAAGGGTTCGCTCGTCAAGCCGAGAAGCAGGTTTGATTCTGTCCATTACACTTGTACATCGTGAGAAACCCATTCTTCATATTCACCTTGCTAGAATATCACTGAAGGCTTCGTCACACCATACTTATATAAATACCAACAACAATAACAACAGTTGATAATATAATACTTTGAATATACATGTATATTAGGTCTTCCCGACGCCGTATAAACTAGCGCTTCTACAACTCTGAAAGTGTGTGGTGAACTTGATGTTTGAGTGAGTGAGTGAGTGAGGTTTTACGCCGCTTTTAGCAATATTCCAGCAATATCACGGCGGGGAACACCAGAAATGGGCCCAGCAATATCACGGCGGGCTTCACCAGAAATGGGCTTCACACTTTGTACCCATGTCGGGAATCGAACCCGGCTCTTCGGCGTGACGAGCGAACGCTGTAACCACTAGGCTACCCGACCGCCCCTGATGTGTGAAACAAGACTACCACGTTCTACAAGTTTGTATCCCGTCTGTGTCTATCACTTTCATACTTTTACTAACTTAATGAAGACTGATTGCACGAAGTCAGGCTCCAGTGATTATCTGCCCAATGTCTAAGGTCTGACTGTCGTGTTCTGTCGTTACTGTAAGGCAAACAAGAAATGGTTTCGATGGCAATGTCTATGTGATACAGGTATCACAGCTGTGTTTTAGACCTTAACGTGGCAGTGTTTCGGCGACTGTTTTCAGCCTTGTAATGTGTTGATAACGTTTGTAAAAAAAAAATGTCAATTTTTGTAAGTGTATACTTTCTTTTGCCCGGCACTGTATAAGGGACGTCACCGAGCTTGTTACAATGCGATTTCAAGGACTTTTGGATTACCATACCTGTTGATTTTAAACATAACTGTTTTACAGTTATGTGTACAAATAACTGCCAACTGTTATGAAAATAATTTTAATTAAGTCTTTGATAGGCATTTAGAAGTTGGGAGAACATTTAGGAATAACATTTATTTTTGTGTAACGTCTCACACCTACTTCACAATGTCTTCACGATTTTATGTATTTCAAGCTTTAAACAAACCCTCAAGAAGATTATACATTGTAAAACAAATATCTCCTTGACGACGACATTGCGGTTTGTATTTCCGCCGAAAGGTAACTCGTCGTTAAATTCGTACGTAAACTAGCAATGCGGACATTAGTCGTGGCCTTGATCCCCACTCACTGCGGTGTGACTATACCTGCCCCAGGAAACTATGTCTGACAAGTTCGACAGGTGCCTTCCTGGTCCTGTGAGAAACAACGGTGATTAGCACAATATAGTGTTGGGGATACAGCATAATTGGTCTCCAGCCATAGCTGACTGCTCATTATTTGGTCCTGGTTGTGAACAGACATGTACACGAAAGTAATCTATACTCATGTATGCGTTGATAACTAAATTTATTATTTTTTACCATTGGATCCTTCTTTGAAATTCGACGAGACGACGCCTACATTAAATGTTCAACACATGTACCCTCTTTTTATGACCCAGCTCCTCACAGCGGTAGAAACAGTCGAATATTTCAATATGCTGATATGGATATGCACTTTTATGTTTAAATCAAGTCGTGTTCTATAATACTTCCGGCTTGGGTGGCGTCTCAGGCGCACCATTCGCTTTGCAGAGTTGCGCCCCTTGTCCGTATCAGAAACCTATGATCGTGGGATCGAATACCAGATTAGCCCTGATTATGTTTCTTGGTTTGTCAGCACAGATCGTAAGTTTCACCAGCGTGGTAAACGACCCGTACGAAATCCAGCTTCCCCCAACATCAAACTGACACGCCGTTATATAGCTGAACTACTGTTCAAAGCGGCGTTAAACCAAACCCGCTCATTCATGAATACCCACATCTAAAGCTAATAAGTGGTGACAGCAAACATCTTTTCAGCAGAGTATTTCTTTTATATCAGGGCCGACTGCAGCCACGCAAGCATCTTTGCTCCTATTGGCTGAACAGAATGATCACAGACAAGCATGCATCTCAGACATTCCACTGAGTATTTCCGTTCTGTTGTGATAAAATACCATGGGTACAGTCACTGCTATACATTCGTTTAAAATCAGATTCGAAAGACGTGGCGCTAAAACA